GTACTCCAGAATCTTGCTTCCTACAGATCTCTGGCCATTAAGAGTCTGTTGGAATAAAACATTTTTCTTCCAGAAAATGAGTATGTTGGAATAAAAGCATTTTCTTCCAGAAAATGTATATGCTTGAGCCTCACTTTCTCAGAGAAAATAATCAATTACATCTGGAAAGTTACTTTTGTTGAATTCATACTGCATCTTTCTGTGGTTCACCAGCTTTCAACTTGTAGGCAAATTGTGCTTTAGGTCGTACAATCTGACTAAGGACAAGCAGCGAAGATACTGATGGAAAGATTATTCTGCCTCATAATGGTGGTTAAAACTAAATATTCTTTCAGTCCTTGCTAAATCTATTTATATGTGTAACACCACAGACCAGTTTCAAATCAGGTTTATGCTATTGCAACATTTGCAGCAAAGGAGATCTGGGAAGAACAAAGTGGTAAGATTTCTCAAGTAAAAGACTCACAAAGTTATAAGCCTCAGCGGTTGGGAGAAGAAATTAAAAAAGATCTGAACTTAGTTAAAATAAGTCATGGAGATATATCCAATGGTCTTGCATCTCTTATCACACAATAGGTGAACTACATCATAAGCTGTTATGATTATGGATCCACTGCCTTAAATAAACTCTCTCCCCAAACCCCACCCCACCCATTTGGTGCTAATACTTTACCTGATGAACCATCAATGATTGGACTTGGCGTTTGAGGACTTGCATTCTTGCGGTAGTAACCACAGATCTAACATCAGGGACTACACTTTCACTCAGGATCTCACTAATTAAGCGATGGTTTCTCTGGAAACGGGCAGTAGCAGTATGTTTCATAGAAAATCCATCATCGTAATCTAAAACAAAATCATACACAGTGATGACCATATAATCCTGGGTTATACTTCATTCTGTTCCTCTATTCCTTTCTACCAATTCAAACTCCTTGATAAAAATGTTTCAGCTTTTTTTTCCTGAACCCGATGGCTCAAAAGCTGACATACGCAAAATAAAAATACACATAAAAAATACACCTGCACATAAACAACTAAATTGCAATTATAAAATTTGAGTTTCCTTAGCAAAGAATATGATTCAGTCCTGCAAAAATAAAGTAGTTGGTTTCTGCGAAACAGGGAGGCTAAGTGAATAATAGCTTCCCTCGGCAAGGATACATCCTGAATGTGTATTAATACATTGCATATAATAATGATGGCTTGCAGGCAACATTATGTTGGCTTGCAAAATAATCTCTAATTAGAGATCGTAGCATGTGTAGAATAGCGTGAGTACACTTGGAGTAAAACTAGGATTTGGTTGCACTTGTGGCATACTGACTAAAATGTACCAAGACTGACTGGTATAGTCCATGCTATTATCAAGGAATGCTTTAAACAGCACAGAAATGTCCAAGGGTGATAACCTAGTCTAGACCTTCTCCATCTTATTAAAAAGAGCAATATGAAAGCCTTGATTAACCAAAGCCGTGGTGAGCTGTGGTCAATATCTGGGTCCATTTGATGATGACCATAACATATGGAAGATTGCAACTTGGTATGTAAGAGAAGTAAATGGTAAAGAATATGAATTAACAAATGAAATGTGCAAATAAATGAAAAACATGTTAATTGTCTGTATAACTAAAAGAAAGAGAAAATATATAATAGATAGGAACAAAGATAATCTGATCCAGTGGGATTGATGAACACATGCAGAGAAGTGAAAGTGTAAATTTAATTACAGGTAGTCCTTGCTTAGTGACCACATTTGGGACCGGCAACTGTCGCTAAATGACATGGACGGTAAGTGAAACATGTGACTGTGAACCATTTACGACATCATTTCCCATTTGGTCATTAAGCAAGTCACTGCAGGTTATTAAATAAGACATCACGTGACCACGACTTGTGATTTTACTGCCAGCTTCTCCATTGACTCTGCTTGTCAGAAGCTGGCTGTGAAGTGCACAAATGGTGATCATGTGACCATGAGACACCACGATGGTTGTATATGCCTGCTGGTTGTGAAACACCCAAATTTCAGTCACATGACTGCTTTCTCTGAAAGGGAATAGTCTTATTTCCAATAAAAAATGGTCAGGAAATAATCACCACCATTCAAACACATGATGGGGGAAGCAGAGCTGCAAAAAAGGGACTCAGGGTCTTTGCAGCCTCCACGTTGCTAATCTCAGCTTTAGTCTATCCAGAGAATACATACAAACAGGGATATCTTAGTTGGGACAAGGTGGCAGACAATCCAACTTATCTCTCAGGTGCCAAGGATAGGCAATTAGATTCCCATAGAGCAGTGTTGTCCAAACTTGGCCGCTTTAAGATGAGTGGACTTCAACTCCCAGAATTCCCCAGCCAGCATGGGGAATGGCTGGCTGGGGAATT